CTCTTTACATTTCCCTTATTATTTTTAAATAAAGTAAAAATAAAAGTTTTCTCCATTTTTATTCTTTTGTATTGTCAAAATTATCCTGGAACAATTGAAAGCAATTTATCAATAAAATTCTTTTATTTTACATCAACTTTCATTTTATCATCTTAATTTTTTTTCTTTCTTCAAATTATTCATTTCATTTTCAGTTTAAAGGCTGGAAACAAAATGTATTAGAGATTAGAAATTATATTTGCTATACCTAGTTTTATATTTTAAGCATTAAATATTTAAGTGTCCTGGACTATTGTGCTATTAATAGGCAGTAATGTTTTAAAGAGTTGAATGTAATACATTCGTACTGTTTGCTGTCATTGTTTTACAATTGTTTCACAAATTATTAAAGCCTTAGACAGTGCTGCCACTTTGGCCCCATTTAATAATTTTAAAATGTACTCCATGGTTCTTTTTTTAATGCATTTTTTTAATATTTTAAATTCAACTTTGGCTTTTATACATTGCGACAAGTTCCGTTTTTTGGTATACAAAATAATTTGTGTTCCATGCCAGAAAAATACTAGAAAAAGTTAAGTTCCAAGTTAATTCAATAATAAATTTGCTGTAGGAAAGAAAATATTATGTTTTTAAATTTCACATATTTTTAAAATAATCTGTTGCGGCAAATCTTCCCAATAAGCTTTTAATGCGGACACTTCAGGCATCAACTGAAGACGCTTTAAAATATGAGCAATTAATATTAAATTTCGACCAGAAAATTGTAAATTTTCTTATAGTTAACTTTATCTTTCTAGTAAAAAGGATATTGAATGGAAATTCGTAATTTAATACCACGATTTCATTTTGAACTTAATTTCGTTTTTTTTTCTCTTTTTATTTAATTTCATTTTGTTTTTTTTGCTTTTGGTTCTTTCAATTTTATTTCCCAAAAGCATTTCAGTTTGAAATTAAGCAGTAAATTGTATTATTTGGAAAAGTAAATGGACATAAAAAGGATAAATAAAAGGAATTGGTAAAATATTTATTTATCTTCAATATATACAAAAGAGAGATGAACAACATATTGATGTAGTTGTATGTGTGTTTGTGTGTATTTTATACATAGATTAGATAATAAGTATATATAAAATTAAGAAATGAAACAGAGAAATCTTTCAAAATGGAAGAAATTCTTTCACCACCCAATTACGCCCGATAAAATGGAAATCCATTAGATAACTTGTATAAAAACAAAATAAAACAAAAAAAAATTCCTTTTTTTCTTTTTATAGCTACAATAGAATTTTATTTTCTTTTATAGATTATAAGGGTGTTTTCAGTTTACTTAAGGTCTTTATACAAATTTATTTGATTACAAAATTGCACATGGCTAATCAAAAAAAAAAAAATTATTCCCTTTTGTTTTTAATTTAAAGAAATAATTTGTAACAATTGATTAAAATAATATAGGATAGGGAGAAACCTTATATGATTTTATGATCTTATTAGTAATAAAATGACCAATTATTTAAAATTAAAAGTATTAAAGCCGAAGGTATAATATAGTGGTTATGAAATTTACAAAATACTGACAAACAAAGCCCCTTAAGGCTGTTTTTATAACTTGATTATTGTATAAATACTCACATAGTCACATAGAACTTATAAATATTAAAAAGTGAACTTTGTTAGAATATTGGGATTTTAAATAAATAAACTTTCAAGTTTTCCAGTGTATAGCAAACTTTGGTTAATCCTGAAATTGCCTATACCTAAAAAATTACAATCACCTTATTTATATATACATATTTGAAAAATCATAAATTTTTTTATAATCGTGTTATTGATTTACGTGATGAAATGTAAATCGCTAACTCGAATCTTTTACAGCAGAAAATGTTTCGCCAAGGAAACACTCACATGCATAATTTATGAAGCCAGGACCATTGAAATGCTCAAGATATTTTTGAAGAATATAATTATGATCTCATTAAGAGAACAATCTCGAACAGAGTGTTTTCAATTTCGTATAGAGTGTAAAATTTCATTGATATTAAGTTTATGAAAAAAATTTTTAAATAAATTCAAAATTCATCGAATATAATTCAAAATATATATGAATCATAGTGCGGTACAAAAATTCGATAATATTAAAAAATTCTTTATTGCTTCGCTCTTATAAAAGTGAATTTGCAAAGTGAATAAATTTAACAAATCTCAGTCCCTCATTGAAAATTCGTCTTATATCCAAACGGTATTTGAAAATTTTTTAATAGAATTTTTTAATAGAAACTCAAAAAAAATCAATATTATTTTAAGTATAGGACGCTTAAAATTTAAAAAATGTTGCATACTTATGGGAACCCAATATAAACCAAGTTATCTTTGCAGATTCACGCTTTAAAATTCCTTCAAATTTATCCATATTTTCAAAATTTCAAAACATAAATATTCTTTAAAAATTAAATAAATTTTCCACACTTATCCAATTTTCTTTTTATAAAATAAATAAAAAATTTAAAATAAAATAATATTTATTTTATTATTTTTTAATACCCGATAAAAATATGGTGTTGAAAAATAAATAAGAAACCAAAAAAAAACAAACAAAGGAACACTCGTATACAATTTTTTTTATCCCCAACGTTTTTTTGCCATTCTAAAAGGATACACTCACATCCTTATTTTTATTGTATTTAAAAAAAAAAATCTGATCAATTTATATAAGTGACCATTATGAAAAAAAGGGTATCCAATTTCAGTGTACAAAATAAAAAAAAATGGAGAAAAATATTTTTTTTCCGTCACATTTACACTTTTTTTTTTCTTTTTTTCCTTTTTTTAGATTTTATTCATTCTTTTTTTAAGTAAGCATATAGAAAACAGTGTTGTAGCAGCTAGTAGTAGGTAATACTAAATATGACTTAAAACCTTTTCGGGTTAAAAATAATTTTTTACTCTTTCAACCATAAAATCAACACAAAAAAAAAATGAATTGATAACAAGAAACATTAAGTTTCATAACAGTCTCTATAAATATGGGTCCCCTTTTTTATATGCTCCTCAAAAATTTATATAAAAATGTGTCCTTTTTCAATATACACAAAAAAATAGTCATATATAGAAAATCCAAACAAACAATGAAATTCTTAAACAATGGAGAAAATCTGTGTTTTATTTTTTAGAAGAAAAAAAAATAAAGAAAAAATAAACATGAATTTCATCCAATCTGGGTTAATGCGATAATGGGTGTTAAGATCGTTAAAATGTTTCTTCATCACACGGATATACGAAGGACTAAATTTGAGAAAAGAAAAGTAAGGAATAAAGAAAAATAAAAAATATTTTTATTTATTTTTATTAATTTTTTTTTATTTAGTTTTGGTTTCAATTTATATTGCTTTATATAGTCTGTTTGACATAACCTTTACCCATTTTTATTATGAGTGCGAGGACTTGGTATTATTTTATTGGAACCATTATGCAGTAGCCATTTTTTCACCTTGTTTCTTTTTTCGTCATCAGCTTTCCCCTCGTTCATAAATATCCTTTATAATTTACTAAAAAAAATTTAACCTCTTTATAAATTTCATTTTGTTTCTAATTTTAGCTATTTCAAATAATTAACGAATAACTAAAAAGATTACATAACTGCTAGTCAACATATCGTGGACTTCGTCAACATATAAAATTTTTATTGTAAGTACATATTTAAGTATACATACATAATATGTATGTATTTAGAAGTTTGTTACATTGCATATCCTTTCGCATCAATATTTTTTTTATAGTCAAAATAATGTGATAAAATTTAACCGCAATATATTAAGAGCAGTTTATCTTATTTGTATTCAAGAAGTGAATTCTATTCCTGCCTACATTAATACAAATGTACATAAAAATCTAGAAAAGATAAAAAAATAAAAAAAAGGGCAGCGGAACATTAAGAGTAGAAATAAATATCATCAGAAATAAATGTATCAATCGATTCTATATTTATGAGTCCAAAACCAACTAAGACTTTAAATTTATTAAATAAAATGATGTAAAATTTATCAACACACACAACTTTGCCAAATTCAAAACAATTAATCTAAGAAAGAATTTAATCTAATTTCTTTTATTTTAAATAATCCATAGACGTACTATATTAATAAACTAACAGTAGAGTCTATCTTTCCATTTCTCTCTATTGGAATTTCATTACTACTCACTTCGCGTGAGAAATTTTATATCTTGGCAACTCATATGATTTTGACAACTAATTATTTGAGCAAAATAAGTGAAAATTTGAAATGAAACTACTGGAACAGTTTTCTTAAAAGAATATTAAGACATATGAAAGCGATTTGAAACTGAATAACACAATATTAATGATAATTTAAATAAAAAGAATCAAATACTTACCGCAAAAAGAAAGATTTATTTTCTATGAGAATCTAAAAATGGGAACTCAGCTGTTAAATTAAATGTCAGCTCTCAGCTTCTAGGAAAATTAAATGTTTTTGTACTACTAGTCTAGGTTTTATTCCTCTATTAATCAACTGAGTACGAAGACGTTTCTAATCATTATTTGTGTTATATTGAATGCTTAAGAAGTTTTATTTACGTATTCCTTTAAGCAAATTAATTTCTAAAGTATTTTACCTGTAATTTCTAACTGCATTTTATCTCATTTTTGTTTATAAATTGAAAGCATAATTTTAAAAGAGTTACAAATTTTACATATAAAGCTTTTACTTCTATTCAAAATGTAAAATAAAAAAATAATGTGAGTTTTAAAGAACAACATTTGGAAAAAATATAATTTAACCACATTTTAAAAAAATTACATAAATTCAAAAAAATATTTTGATATCAAAAAGTTTTTATATTATATTTTGACATTTAATTGTTTGGAATCTTATTTGTTTGTCTTATATCAGTTATTCTTAAACTGTCGCACGTGTTTATTATTCGAATTGTCATATCACATGTTGAAAATGTCAAAAATGTTTATATAGTGAAGGTATTGAGAATCAAAACATAAACAAAAAGGATAACTAAACGTGGTTGAACTTTTCGGTTTGTAATTGATAAGAAATAAATATTTAATACTTGAATTCTCAGCATTAAATCAAGAATTCTCAATTTATTGTAAATATTTCTTCTTGTATTACTAAATCAATATGGATTTGATGTTCAATATAACATCAGCACCTAGCCCAGCTCCAAAAGTGAAAGAGGTAATAATAGTTTGATATTGGTGTTTTTTTTTTTTTTTTTTAAATATCATCATTATTCGTAGAAACCGGCTGGAAAATTATTAAAACAGAAAGTTAAAGTGAATTCAAAAAACAAGTTTAAAGAAAATGGAAGTAAATTTTCTTTTCAGTTTACAAAAAATGATAAAATTAAAGCTGTTGTCGCAAGAAGAAGGCCAACAACTATTTTGAATGGTCAAAATTTAAAAACAGAAAAAAATGTGATTAATAACCATCAAAGTTCTCAGCCTAAAAATTATGTGATGCGACCTTCATTCCCAGAAACAAATGAAAGTTTTGATGAGAACCATAAGAAAAAGAATTACGTCTTAAGGCCAAAGGATGATGTGGATGATATAGATTCTAATAATGATAATGTGAATGAAACGAAAGCTCAGAACGGCGATGATATCTTCTTGAATTTAACAACTTCTGTTGATCCTCAACTTGCTAATAAATCCAATGTAAAATTGTCAAGAACTGAAAGAATTAATAAGAAAAGAGAAGATAAATTATCTTTTAGAAAAGAAAAGAGAAGCGGCAGAGTTCTAACTGAAGAAGAAATAAATGAGGGTATTAAAAAATTTTCCAAGTTACCTCAAAAATCAAAAAAGAAAAAGCCTAATATTTGTCAGAATATAGAAACAAAAATAATAGGACAAAGATTTGTTAAACCTATAGTGGAAAAGATTTTTACCGGATGTTCTTTAGAGACTTTAAATATACATCCGCATTTGGTTAAAACTCTTGCTGATCTTATGAATATAACAGAACTAACAGCTGTTCAACAAAAAGCTATTCCAAAAGCGTTAGAAGGCCGTGATTTATTGGTACGATCACAAACAGGTTCAGGAAAAACTTTAGCATATGCTCTTCCAATTGTGCAGAAATTGCAGGAAGTAACCCCAAAGCTAACAAGAAATTCTGGAATTATGGCACTTGTAATAGTCCCGACGAGAGAATTAGCTATTCAAACATATGAAGTTTTAATTAAATTGCTAAAACCTTTTACATGGATAGTTTCTGGATACTTGTGCGGTGGTGAAAAACGCAAATCAGAAAAAGCTCGATTAAGGAAAGGAATCAATATTTTAGTTGGGACAAGTGGTCGTTTACTTGATCATTTATTGAACACAGATTCATTTAAACTTGATAAATTAAAATTCTTTGTACTAGATGAAGCAGATCGTTTGTTGGAGCTTGGGTATGAAAAAGATGTATCAAAAATTGTTCACACAATTGATGAACACAAGCGAAATGCTGAAGTTGCTGACGAATTTAGGCCTTCAAAAAGTAAAGTAGAAGAAAAACCTGACAATCAACTACAAAGACTTTTGTTATCTGCTACTTTAACTCCAGCTATTCAAAAGTTAGCTGGTTTAACTTTGAAAAATCCAATTTTTATTGACAACAGCGACGAGAATGTTATTGATGATGCAAAGCAAGCTAACGGATACGCAAATGCTTTGGAAGAAGCTGTGAAAGATGAAAAATTAGTTTTGCCAGAAAACCTTAGTTTAAGTTATGTTGTTGTGCATCCGAAGTTGAGATTAGTTACACTTTCAGGACTTTTAGCGAAAGAATTCTCTAACCGCAAAACAAAAGTTCTTGTATTTTTAGCAACTACAGAAATGGCCAATTTTCTTCACGATATATTAAATGAGGCGTTAACAATGCGAATACTAGATGAAGAAGTTGATCCAGATGAAGACAATGGTGACGATAATCCATTATTAGCAGGAGTAAAATTTTTTAAACTTCACGGTTCAATGACACAAGTAGAGCGTGGAGCAATTTTTAAAGATTTCAAAAATTGTAGTTCCGGTATATTATTAACAACGGTAAGAATCAATAAGCTGTAATAAATACAAGCATTTTATACAAATAAACTTTCATTTTTTTCTTTAATTGAATTGTAAACTTTTTAAGGATGTTGCGGGACGTGGTATTGATGTACCAGAAGTTGATCTAGTGATTCAATATTCACCGCCATTGACGATATCTGATTTTGTACACCGCGCTGGGAGAACAGCTAGGGCGGGTAAAAAAGGCAGATCTGTTTTATTTTTAGCATCTGAGGAAGTTGAATTTATTAAAATTTTGGAAGACAGACGAATAAGGTTGTTTTCCTCACTTCAATATATTTTTGCACAAAATTTACACAATTGTATAATTTTACTATTTTTTTAGAATATCGCAAGAAATTTTAGAAAAGTGTCTTAAAAGTCTTAAAGATGCAGATGATGAAGCACATACTGTTCAAGAAGCAACATCAAATCTTCAACATAAATTTGAAGAACTGATTGAAGATGATAAAGAGTTACGTAACAAAGCGTATAAAGGTAAATGTCCTATTAAAATACTAATTTTAACTCAATTGTTAAAACGTAATTAAATTTAATATTATCATAAACATTTTAATTAGCTTACACATCATGGGTAAGAAATTATGCTTCATTTCCAAAGGAACTCAAACCTATCTTTAATATAAAAAAAGCTCATATGGGTCATTATGCAAAAAGTTTTGCACTTAAGGAACCACCTTCAAAATTTGTTTCAAAAAATTATGCTCCCAAACCTGCATTACCAAATAACCGGTTGACTTATAGTGAAAGGTGAATTAATAAGGAAAAATATTTATATAACTTAATTTATATTGATTTTCGATTTTCAATAAAAATTTTAGAAAAGATGAAAAGAAAACTGATTCATCAGAAACTAGAAAGAGAAAGCATAATTTATCGACAACAGTGTCTAGTGGTAGTCGTTTAACTAATTTTACAAGAGATTCGCAAACAAATCAAGGACCAAGAAACTTTAAAGAAAATAAAAACAAACATTTTGAAAATAAATTAGCTCAATTATCACAAAAATCTTTGATGATGTCTGTTTCTGAATTCGATAGTGGGATACCATCAAAAAAAAGAAAAACATGATAAAAACTATTTTTTTTTTCTTAAATTATATGTAAAATTTTTAATAATTATTAAATTAGTAAAAAATTTTATAAAATACCTTATAATATCTTTGTACTTATTTGTTTAGTTAAAGTTCATTTAGTTTCAATTTATTTTGTTTGCTTATTCAGTTTCATTTCAGTTGTAATTAGATTTGATTGCCAAAAATTTTTTTTAAAGTCTGATTAAATTAAATTCGTATTACAACATAATAAAATAATTCTTCACATTGTATATTTAAGAGAATTTGAGTTGGTTCAAAGATTTTATTTGAATTTTATTATTCAATACTTTCAACTAATCTTAAAAATAAAATTGTTTAAGCTATAATGCTAAGATTTAAGATTTCTAGGTTGGTGCTTCATTGATTTATGAAGCAAAAATCTTGTAATTTTGCAAATGAATTTATTTATAATGTTATATTGTTCTGGAAAAGTAGACGGAATTAATTGATATTTTCAATTAATCAATTGATCCACAATTTTCAATATGTATTATTATTATGTTGACTGCATTTTAACTATTGTACTACCTTTAAAATTTTTTAAAGGTAGTACAAGAAAATTAACTTTTCTTGTTGACTTTTTAAGAATTTTTTTAAAACAATTTTATTATTTTAAACTAGTCTTCTCAGTTACCCAAGAGTCAGTATTACTTCAATAACGCTCTTAAAACATGAAAATACATACTTCAATAGTAAAAAGTTTAATTTCACTTTTTATTACGAAAAAATCGATTTTATTACATAAATTTCTTTATTTTTTTCTGAAATTTCCTAATTGTTATACCATTTTATTTTTAAAATTAAAAAGGATAAAAAATACATAGTATTTTTTTTTTCTATAAATTAAAAAAAAATATGTATATTTATTGTAACAATAATGGTTTCAAGGATATCAGTGCCCAGATGAATTTCAGGATAATTGTAAGAAACCAAATTGAAATTTGTAATAGAACAAAAGGGAAAAAAAACTTTATATTTGCTATTTTGAACAAAAAAAGAAAGAATTAAGTTTTAAAGTTTATTTTTTTGCTCAAGAACATATTAAAGAACTCAGAAATGAAGTGTAAAAAGAAGTTTGTAAAAAAAATTCTTAACAACAAAAAATCTGTATAAAAATAATTGTAAAAAACAATTCTTTAATGGTCTCTTCAGAAATCCTTTAGAATTTTTAAACTCTTACGTTTAAGTTTTTTTTTTTTTTGTAAAGAACGCAAAATATTTTCAGCTGGTTTTCATGCACTGCGTTATAAAAATTCGGTTTTTAGTAGTAAAAGTGCATTATTGTGAAAACAGATATGTATGTATGTATGTAATATGAATTTTAGTAGTACACACTTAAGAAAATTTCTGTAGTTTTCAAATTCTACAGTACATTAATTTATTCCCCTATTTTATTGATTAATTTGTAATATGTATGCTTATACTGCAAATTTCTTCAATTTTAATTTAATGGGAACGGATATATTTGTTAAAATTGTAAAAATCAATCAATCAAAACCCGAATTTAAATTTAAATTTTTTACATATTACATAAATATTATTTATATAGAAAATAAATAGTACAAAATAAATTCAGGAGTTGGAATGTAATAAAAATATGCCAGTTATTTTATATTGTAACAAAATTATAGTGTCTTAGATTTGAACTCCACCAGGTTTAATTTAAAACTGATAAAAATTATTATCAAAATCTTTAATTAATAAATGGTATTTTTTATTTTGAATTACTTTTCTCAGTTACTTTAATAAAGTATTTCCTAGAGCCCGGAGTGATTCCTTATCTTATTCTTTTGCAATATTAAAGCCTGTTTAGACATAGGGTGTTCTCGTTTATGCACGATGCGCTAAAAGTCCTATATTAGAACTAAAATTTCTAAGTTGCAGCGTTAAACAGTATGCAAAAACTTTACCTAAGCTTTTTGGGTTTACGCAGTTTACAAATTCTGAAACTTCTAACTAATCTGTCGTTCGAAAATAACATAAATTATTGTTTATGAAATTATATCCCAATACTTTTCGCATTTCCAATTCACTGCAAAATAAAGAAATTTTAACAAGATTTGAAGACTTAAAAAAAACTTACTTGAACAGACTGCGATATCTGAATCTGCAATTTTAAAATTTAAAATTGTTTTTGAATTTTAAATTAAAAAAAAAAAGATTTCATGAAGCAGCGACAAAATTCATACTAGAGGGCTGCGCTACATTTCTAACATTTCTTTATTGCAGATTAAATTTCCGAACGCACTTTATTTCAGCCAGTAATTTTCGATCTATATTTTTAGTGTGTGTAGCTTGAATTTTCGAACGCACTACAAGTTAGAACTATTCTAGAACTTAATAAACGAAAACCCCCATATTATTTTAAATAATCGAATTCAATTTTCTTAGAAGTATTTACATGCAATAATTTCTTAAAATAATTTACATGCAATATAGAAATTAATTTCTTTTTGATGTAAAGTAATAATTGGTAATGTACCCATGTTTGTTTAGGTCTGAGATTTTATTCTTTGATTGTCATTACTAAGTATAATTGGAATATACTTACTAAATATATAATATATTTTGTAGAACTTTGTAAAGTATTTGTGTATTTAGTAAAAAATTACCAGTTCTGTTCTGTAATGTTATAAAATTTTAATTAATCCCTTCAAAAATAACTAATTGGTTCCCTTCAAAATAATTATACCATGAAATGCTTATGCAAGGATTTATTTATAGTATTTCCTTAAAATTAGTACCTAATCAATAATTCAAAATATTTTTTTAAAAATTCGTTAAATTAGGCTTCTATTACCAAACTCCAAACAACAATATGCATGAAAAAATAAAACCTTCTTTTAAATTTTAAAGCGAAAATATTTCATAAATTCTTTAAATTGATAAATTTAAGTAAATTGGAAAATTGAACTTTTTAAATTAATTTTATTAATAATTGTTTTCTAATAAAATTCAAAATTTTCTTCATTTTCAATAAAAATATTTTTCTCTTTTTAGAATTTTCTTTATTACTTAATAGAAGTTCAAATTTACTCATCACGCATTTTTATATCGATTTGGAATGAGTAATATGATAACGAGGTAATAATAATATTTTATGCGATTACCAATCAAATTCTTCCTCTTGAACGCCCAACAACAATACCAAAATAAATAAAATATAAAAATTTCATATAAAATAAATGTACTACAATAATATAGAAAATGGTGTGAAGATGAGGGTGATTATTTTAAGTTGCACCATTCTACATTGTTATACATATGTATTATAGAATTTTGTATACAAAAGGTCCTCTTTAGTCCTTCTTCTTTTGTAAAGAGGAAACGAAAAACAAAAAAAAAATTTTTTTAATGTTTTATTTTTTTCTTTTTTTTTTTCCAATATAATTTGCTTTATTTTATCGTAACAAATGTTGCGCACAATCGAAATGAATTTGTTTTAAATTGGTTATTCGAATGTAAAAATAACTTTTCAATTTGGAAATATTATGACAACAAAATATATTATTAAGGGAAATGTATATTTGCAATCTGTAATTGTGTATGTGTATATATTTGGTTAAATTTTATATATTAATAGTTTTTATATTGTATCATTGAATATATATTTGATTTTTAGTTAGAAAGAATATTAGAGGGTATATTATATGTCTTGAAATTCAAATAATAGAAAAGTGGTCTTTGGTAGTAGGCAGTATTTAAGCGTATATGAAAAATTTTAAACATAATATTGGTGTTAACAAAGTTTTAATTAATTATCATTTGAGAATAAGAAATATTGAAATTATATTTTTTGCCATCAAATCATAAATTCTACAATTTACCGCAAGTTCCACTATGCACATCAACCGAATAGTAAACCCAATTCAATTTTCTATTTTAAACTTACTCAACAATTATTCCATTCAGATATTATTGTGCATATTTTTATTTAACTTTGTATGTCGTATATTTAGGAGCTTTCTGGCAATAAATTTTGTTTTGTATAAATTATAAATTTGAATGTGCGGCTATACAATATTTATTTATATTGTCAATATTGATTTGAATATAAACGAAACTCTCCGACTGTGCTAATTTGAATAATTATAAGTAAAAAAGAAGAAGGGGGAACTGAATTTTCCATATTCGCTGGAATTGAAATATGTAGCTATTGCAAATTTTGATTTTTCAATACAAGGAGTATGTCAATTCATTTTTAGTATACATATACAAAATGCATTTCTTAAGCAAATGTGCATTAACTCGAAAAAAAATCAATTTCAAGAAGATTCCTAAAAATATTTGTCCACCTAAATTATAAATGCATGTGAATATTTCTAATTTACATCTAATCAAAAGAAAACCGAATCCGTATTACAGACAATTTTTGCGCTCTAACAAGCTTTTATATAACAGTTATGATTTGAGACTAATAAAAATTTTCAAAATGTTCTCTCAAAAAATTTTAGTCAATAAAAGTTTGAATTGCCTTTTTAATAATTTTAATGTCCTTATCATATAATTCATAACACAACTTCAAATATTCTTCAAAATTGTCCTGCAAAATAGGATTTTGTTTATTCTCATTTTTATAATAGTAAAAAAAAAAATAAATAAATAAATCAAATTATTAAGAGTGTGAAGAATGTTTGCCTGCGGCTAGACCATAATAACAAAATTATTTCTTTTATGTTAATAGCAAATTAGCAATCATGTATGAGCAGAGCATATAAATTTATTATATATAAATTCATTTATTTATTATATTACATAATATTTTAATAGGATGTTAAAAAGATTTCATGCTGTTCATTAAAAAATTTTAACAATTCAAGTATAAATAATTATAACAGTTTTTTTTTATATTTTATCATTGTTTTTTGTTTCCCATTAAAGAAAAATTTTGTCAATATAAAAGAAAAATTGTAAAAGGGCAAGCGTTACGATCATTCCGTTTATGTACCTTCATATTACGTATTTGTAACTTGTTGTTGTTGTTGAAAATGAGGCATTATGACATAAGAGGATTGATTTTAATGGTACCAATTTTGTC